TGGAGGGGCAAAGAAGGCAGGGGACAGCCTGGCTCCCAAGCATCAAAAGCATTACACACTCCGCTCCTCTGGATCTCCAGCCCAGGCTGAAGCTGATTTTAACCCTGAAAAACTCAAGAACCACCCATTGTGATTCCTGGTGCAGACGACTCCATGCTGCGAAGGCACGTGCTCCTCAGAGGACATGAAGTCACCCAATGAATGGCGCTGTCTGTCTACGGCAGCCAGCACCCAACATGAATGGTCCCGTTGTACCCAGCTCCAACATCTCAGCACCCTCCCCATAACAGGCATCTTTCAGGCACAAAGTCTTCTCTATAACTCTACCTTACCAAGCATACCCAGTCCTTCATCCTCTGGTGTCCACCGCTGCCAGTACCCTCTCATCCATCCTTCACAGCCCACCTGCAGGGCAGATAGCTATTTATGGTGAATTCACAACCATGGGAAGCTCTCCATAACCCTGGGGAGATGCAAGGGCATATTGTATTTTAATTGCCTTATTTGTTCCATAGCAACTACTCTCTGCCCCATATACTATACGCCATACTATACAATAAGGAGCTTCATGGAGGAGAAGTACTTTGCCAGCTGTCTGGGACTCCTCAGTGTTCATGGGTACAACCCTTGCAGGAAAGTAAACAACGCTAGAGAAAACTCAGGAGAAGACATCAGTAGTACAGTATCTGTTACGAGAGATGTAGCTCTTCAAACTGCAAATGCTTTGAAAGCTCACAGAGAAGCCCAAACCTCATAGAGCCATCAGAAATGGGGCACAGGTGTCACCCCCCGAGCCTTCATTTATTCCCAGTGCAGAGATCCTAGCAGGGCACTTACAACTGGCAGGAACCAATATCCTTCACCACATCTGACAATTATTGCCAGCGGTGCTATGGCTTACAGGCCACAAAGACGTTTCTGCCTTTCTTTCCATGGCACGTTGTATTTCCAAACACTACAAGGCCATCCTCCATCTCCAGCCAGGGCTTACCCTGCTTGGGGTTAGTGCTGCAGGGAACATGGCTGGGGTTGAACAAATATATATATATATTTAGCTATATGTATCACCTTCCAGTACCTAAAGGGGCCTACAGGAAAGACGGAGAGAGACTGTTTGTCAGGGAGTGTAGTGACAGGACAAGGGGAATGGCCTGAAGCTGCAGGAGGGGAGATGGAGATGGGATCTGAGGCAGAAATCCTTCCCTGTGAGGGTGCTGAGGCCCTGGCACAGGGTGCCCAGAGAAGCTGTGGCTGCCCCTGGCTCCCTGGCAGTGTCCAAGGCCAGGCTGGATGGGGCTTTGGGCAACCTGGGCTAGTGGAGGGTGTCCCTGCCCATGGCAGGGGGTTGGAACTAGGTGGGCTTTGAGGTCCCTTCAACTCAAACCGTTCTATGATTCTAGGATAAATGGTTTACTTTAAAAAAAATCTGTAAAAAGGATAGCTGCGCTGGAAGGGTGGTAACACACATCATTAAAATCTCTCAGTAACAACCATATCAAAATTTTACAAGGCAGGAAACAGAATGGGTGAGAGATAGCGAGGGCTCGTTTTGCCATTGCTGGGGATGATTTCAAATTCTCATCCAGGGCGGCTGTCGTCGGTGTGACAGACACGTCATGTCTCCCTTGCAGCTCCCCAGGGCCTGGGTGAAGGAAAGCAATCCGCTCAGCCAGCACACGCGCGCCAACATCAGGGTTGGCCCATGGCTCGGCTTCCCGTAGATGACTCAGGCCGCCGAACCCAGTGTTCATACTGCCGCGAGGCGTTTCGGCACACAACACCCCAAATCCTGTTGACACGGAGATGTTGGAAAGCGGCGGACGCAGAGGTGGGAGATGGCAAGTCCTTAGGTCACCACGCAGCAAGGTGCCCTTTGGAGAAGAATTGCACCAGACCATGGGAGAGGAAAACCAAGCAGGTGCCTCTCCGCCACACAGTATCTCTGGCAGACACTGGGGTTTTTTTAGAAATCCATTTTTCTCACCTAATATGCCCAGCCAGCTTCTCCCAGCGCCTTGCAAAGGGTGAAACCACCAATTCCTGCCAAAATCAGCCCAGCCAGGAGGACAGTTGGGGTCCAAGCCACCTCTCATCACCCTTGCGACATTGCTCATCACCCATATTTTTTAGGCGCACTCACATCAGAAAAAGAAAACCAGCTCTTTGAGAAACCTCCCAATTCATGGAAAAATCTGACCCTGACCATTTCTGATCACATCCTGCTGGTATGGACACAGTCCCTGGCGCTGCGAGACCGAGAGCACTGCGTCTAGGAAGGGGACCACATCGCCGCGAGATTAATTAACACGCTGTCAGAACAACTGCTGGGATTTCGGAGGTTGGCTGTTGCCCTCCTTAGGCTTCTACTTCATGTGGCAAGAGGAAAAAAAAGTTGGAAAGCAAGCCCTGCACCGAAATGAGATGTCTGATGTCCTCGTTTTAAGGCGTGCAAGGGTGGTCAGAGATGCCAGGCACCTCACCCGGTACCCAACCTCTCCTTGCTTGGGGCGAAGAATGAGAAACCGGCCTCTTGGCATCTCACCTGCCTCCGGACACTGGGGACGATTAAACGGCACATCATCGTCACCCACTCGCTGGAGTACGACCCGCCAGCTTTATACCCAGCCCGAAGGCGGAAGCAGCACAAAGCGGAGCGTTGGCGTGCGTTTAAAAAGAGCAGAAGGATTTTCGTGGTGCTGTGGCTTTTAAAAATTGTTGCTATTTCAATGACAACTGTGTTCATGGTTTGGGGTCTGCCCCAAGCCGAAGCCTCTCTGGTTTGGTGCCATATGAGTAAATAAGAAGGCGAGCGATACGGGCTCACCTCCCCTCTCTGAGCTATGGGGATTCCAGAAAGAAGAAACAAAACCAGCATTTTGAGGAATTAAAGGCAATGTTTTCATATGTATTTTCCTTCCCAGCAGAACTTTAACATTTAGGTCTCTTTCTTAATTAGCCCAGTTATGTGGCCATGTAATTGCTTCCAGGAGCGGCTCCCTCCCCTCCTGCCTGGCCTAAATATCCCTCCTGGTAGGAAGAAAACATTTCTTTCAGGTCAAATTATTTTTATTTTGATTATGGTACTGGCTTTCAGGCCTATAAACACATGTGGTTACCAGCTAAAAATTAACCGATCTGCTGCCAGAGCCGGATGCTGATCCAGCACCCAGCACCCCGGGCTCAGCACCCAGCTCTGCTGTTAGCACCCAGGGACTCATGGGTGTGCCCTGTGCCTCAGTTTCCCCATCTGAAAAGGGAATGCTTTGAGGTCTTACTGGAAAGCCCAGTCTGGACACTGGCTTTCCTTTGCTTTGAGTCACGAAGACCATTGAACACAAACCATTTCTATCCCGTATAAAACCAGGGGACACGTGCAGCCACACGGACACCTTGTCATTATTTCAGCTCTTCATCTGAAATCCTCTAACTTTCCAGCGTCGTTACTAGAGAGGCATTAAAAGCAGCCTGGGGGAACATCCAAACCTGCGGGGTTTTCTCCAGCACATTTATCCCCCTGTCTCCTACTGCCCACGAGGAATTAGCTGGTTTTCATGGTGTTTCCATCCCAGGGAGGGCTCTGACCATGTCCCACGCCCCAAAAGCCCGCCCCACCAAAGGCAAGAATGCTCACCATAACTTGCCTAATCCTGTTCGTCCCTCTGTGCCAGTCCTCCCACGCAGAGAGCAGCCTGCCAGGACTGCTTTTCATAACCGAATAGCTATGAAAACCCTGGCCCTTGCACAGCTCCGGGCTTTGCCTTCTTCCCACTCTGCTACAGCCCTGCTACCCCAAACCCAGCAGCACATCCCTGCCACAGGAATCCACCCACTGCCGTGGGTGCCCGAACCCGGCTGGGTTTCCTCCCTGAAAACCAGGGATGCTCCACGGGATGTGTCTCGGGCTGGATCCCAGCTGCGGAGTTCCTTGGTGACAATGTTGTTGGTTGGTTGTGCTAGCAACCGCAGAGCATTCGGCAGCATCCCCGGCCACCCAGCCTGGACCAGCGGGCGAGGAGGGGATGGGAGAGGGGGGGACCACCGCTCTCGCTGCCACCGGCACTGGAGGAGATGCTGCACCCAGGCAATCCCTTCTCCATTCCTACAGAGCTTGTGCCTCGCAGCACGGGACTTTGGGACCCTTCCCTTTTCGTATCGGTTCTTGCAGAGGATGAACCACCCCGACACTCTTTTTGTCTAAACTCGTCCTTGAGGGTAGCTGAGTAACGCACGGTGCTCAGACATCACTTTCTTGCTTTGGGGGATTTTCTGATGTGCAGGACAGCAGCCAGAGAAAACATAATTCCTCAAGCTGAAGGTTTTCTAGGAATACAGACTGAGGTGCTTTCAGATGTACAAGTGATTATGTTTTTGTCATCCTTGGGTCACTTGCCCATGTCAAAGTCATGGCTATCCAAATTATAAATCTGCGCCTGGGCTCGGTGTTCACTGGAGGGAAAGGGAAGCTCCTGCTGATCCCCCCAGCATCTCCCCAGCCAAGCCCTCTGTTTCCCAGACGACAAACCTTCCCCCTTGGTCTGGTGCGATGGAGAAGCTGGCTTCACCCCACAGCATCCTTGGAGGGCAAGGAAGGTCGGTGCTGTGCCGGGAGTGCCGGTGCTGGTGCCAGGCTTCGGCACCCTGCGGGCAGGGCCAGCAGCTCACGGCCGCCCCAGGGTCCCACCTGACAAAATATTTTGGTCAGATTTGGCATCTGATACAGTTGAGTTTTGTAAAACTTACTCGATAGGCTTAGCCTAACCGCTGAAGTGTTCAGTTGGTCCCGCTGGGATAATTAAATGCTAACTCTGCAGTTGTAATCCAGCAATTTCAAGCACTTCTACTGCAAAGGAAATGCATGTGTGTGTCTCACGTCTCTGGGTGAAGGTGTCTGTCATCTGTGTCCTCAGAGAGCCTCACCGGAGCCTCAGGGAGCAGCTGAAGGCAGGAGATGCCAGGAAACACTGACACAGCCCAGCCATGAGCTCTGCTTCAGACCTCACGTTCCCGCTGTCTCCTCGTTGTGTCCCCTGTCCCGCAGGCGGCCGGCACGCAAGGCTGGGGAGGGACCGAAGAGGGAGTTGAGGTCTGCACCATGTGCCATGGCTCTGTGCCACCCATCAGACCTTTTCCTCCTGAAGGGTGGAAACCAGAGCCCATACACTCTCCTCCTTCCCTATCCATGGCCTGAACCTTCTTCATCAGTACAAAAAGCACTCGCATCCTTCCCGGGGCCCTAATATACAAATCTGACGCACACGTCCGACAGCCAGATGCTGAGATCTGTTAGATTGGTCCTTTAGCCGCATCCTCCGCCCGTGCTGGGGGCAGCCCCGTCCCCCCCCAGGCTCCCCACCGTGGGGACATGGGGTGGAAGCCATCCAGCGCAGGAGCGCATGTGCGGACTCGGCCGTCAGGGTTGCTCTCGTTTAGACTCTGTGTTTCGCTGGGGCCAAGGCCGACCCAAAGAGGCGGGTTGAGAATTGCAGGATGCGATCCCAGTCTGCGGTTCAGTTCCTCGGGGAAGGGACCGAGCCAAGCGCACAGCCGTGCCGTGCCTGCAAAGCCTTGCACAGACCTTGGCAGGGACCTGGAAGGGCTCGAGACGAGCTACAGCCGGCGTTAAACCCTCGACGGGCACCAGGGGAGCCGGGAAGGAACATCTGTGGGCTCACAAGGCTGGAAGAACAGCTGCAAAAAGAGGCTTTCCTGGCCCTGGTGCAAGCCTTTTATTCCCCTGCACCGGCAGCAAAATCCGCTGGATGTGATGCCGCATCCACTCAGTGCTGTGCTGGGGTGGCATCCCCACCAGTGGGGTCCATTTGGGGACCTGCCCCACCTGCTGCACCTCCTCCATGCCCTTTGTTTGCAAAGGCCGGCAGTTAAAGAGCAGAAAATCATACAGAGCCTTTGCGGAAAAAAAAGTAAAAAAAGGCTTCGTTGGCATTTGCAAAGATAAACTCATTAATTCTTTTAATGAAGGATCAAAGCCTTGGAGCCTGCCATGGCTGTTACCTTGGGAAGATCACTCCCTGCTACTTGGGGCTCTCCTTTGGTGCTCCTGCAAGCTGGCCGAGCCCAAAGCTGTGAGCTAAGAAGAGCAGATGACTTCTGCTCTGCCCTTCCAGTGCTTCCGAAACGCTCATCGTACCATGGCACAAGAGCCGCTCGGAGATGGTAACCATCACGCAGGCTCTCAGAACAGCCAGGAGAATAAAAATAGTCCCGTTCCTTTGATCTCCTCCCTTTGTTCAGCAGTGAGCGCTGCAGCAGATGCAGCTGGGGCACACGTGCACTGATCCATCATACCGAGGCCCTGCAATTCGGTCAACGTTTTGGCCTCATCCTGAAAGGTCTTGATGATCACCTCCAGCTCCTCCCGAGGTGCTGAGCAGCGCATCCGGGGGACACAATGGGCACGTTCAGCCTTGCAAGACCAAACCACTGGTCACAGCGAGCAGATGCCCCAGTGGGCAACCGAACCAAGGCACTCGCTTGCCCTTGCACAGCCGGCTCTGCGTGCACGGGCATTGCGTGGGATTTTGTTACCTGTGCACCCACGCAACCACACGTGCTACTGCCGTGTTTCCACACCAGATTGCCCAGCTACACCAAAACTCCACGATACACAGATGTGACCCTTTGCCCGTGTGTGTATGCAAACCCCCAGGCGCAGTGTAAGTGCACGTTGCACTTTGCATTTCCAAAGACAGCCCCAGAAAACGCCGTTTGGAAGAAATGTGGATGAGGAAGATTTCTTCGGTCGTTTCTGGGCACGCAGAAAGAGGAGCAGCCCATTTCCCAGCCCCGGTGCCTGCGCCCGGGGCCGCATCCTTCCCCCTCTTTCCCCACACTCTGCACCGTGGGCTTTCTGCCTGGTCAGCCCACTTCCACGGCCGTGGATCTCCTCCCACACCAGTGGGTTATTGGAGGAAAGCTGCGGTGGTCGGCAGGCGTGGCAAAGGCACTTTTATCATGCTGGTTTTAAAGCGAGTAACCACCTGGGAACAAGCGGTGAAGACACTTTCTGAGCGAGCTGGGGCGATGTGGCCATCGCTTCACATTGCTCCCGTGGTCTGACGTCCATTTGGGGAAAGTCACCTTCGTCCCCTCCCCACGGCGGCAGCTCTGCGCCTGGGAAGGCAGGCAGTGACGGGGTAGTCTCGCTCTCCCCGCCACTGGTTTTGAGGCAGTTTGGGTCTTTTGCAGGCTTTGGTTTGCTGGGAAACTCCTGCACGGGCTTGCAGGACATCCGGCACCGCGCATAGAGATGAAGCAACCAGCGAGAGAATTAAGAGGGAAAAATTGTGCTATTCCAGCTTGCAGACAGTAAAATATAATAACACGTGTAAGTTGGTTTTACTGCACATCCAGCTTATTAGCAAATAAAATAAGCTTAGCACATTAAACATTGCTGGTGTGGTTCATCAAGAGACAAGAGCAACACTTTGTGCTTTCCCCCTGCAATCACCCAAATATGTGATTCCCTCACCCCCTCTACCCTCTAAGCTCCTCTGGAGGAGGAAAACCTAATCTCTTCCTCCAACACCACCGCACTCCTTCAAACACCCGCTGTGCTGCCAAGCACGAAACGCCATAAAATATTGCATTTTTAGAAGAGGGAGAAAACGCACGTACAGCGCTGGATGTCACCCCGCTGGGGAACAGCAAGGGGAGAAACCCCACGGCTGTTTCTCCATCCCACCCCACGAATTGCTGCCAGCGGTTTCCCTGCGAACAACAAAACGGAGCGTGCAGGGACACCTTGCACTGGGCGGGCTTTGCCGGCCGCACCGCACAAGGAAATTCAGGGCAGATATTCCCGACACGGTCACCTCCAGGATGAAGCACAGCAGCACCACACGGCAGATGATCGCATCAAACCGAAACCACAGGGGAAGTTTTTTGGGTGGCAGAAAGTGACAGCTCTCCCGGGGAGGTGGCCAGGGTGAAAGCCCTGCTCCCGCAGCGGGAGCCCTGGGGTCTTCAGACCCCTGCCGTGATCTCCATCCCACACAGAGCTGGTGGTGGTGTTGACTTTACGATTGTAGATTACCGATGTGGGAAATGTTGACTCATAAAACTACAGAAAAAGGAATTTTATGAGCGTGAAATGGAAATGAAATGCTGCTCACGCTGTCCTTCGACGCAGCCTCTCGCTTTGCCTCTCGCTAAAGTCCCGCCACTTGGTCTTGCAGGGAGAGGACCGGGGAGCAAAATCCTCCCCAATTCACACTTCAGATCTGTTATCTGGCTTTGCATGGCAGATTGAAGAGGGAGGTTGTGCTCTGTGTTTGCAACTGAAAATGAAACATGATAACATCTCCAGAGTGGAAAATTACAGAGCCTAAGAGCAAGTAAAGCCCGCAGCGGTACAAATTCGGCTCCTGATGGAGCCAGGGCTAGGTGCCTCGGGGGTGCCTTCGCCTCCTCACGACAGGCTCAGGGCTCCTCTCTCCTCAACTCAGAAACGTGGGGTTTAAGGTACTCCTGCTTGAAACACCTACCAGGAGGAAACAATGTGGTGGACTCAGCGTGCAAAAGTCAGAGCAGAAGAGAAATCCAGGAATTTATTAAAGAAATCCATTTGGAGGGGAACAGGTTTTCTGCTCGGACAGAAGGATGCGCTTCCCCGTAACACTCGTGTTACTCTGCGTGCCGCAGAGGCACCTCGGGAGGATGCTAAAGGATTTTTAGCAAAGCAGTAAACAGCATCACCTCGCTGCTGAGCCCCGGCTGCAGGGTCCCCACAGGGACGGCACCGCTGCCTCTTACCTGGGTCATCTTGGCGAGGTCCAGCGAGGGCCGTTGCTCCTGAACCTCCTCCGGTCTCCGTCGCTTGACCCCAACCTTTTTGTCATTCAGGACGCAGGGCTGCGAGCGGCTTCGGGAGAGCCCGCCGGCCCGTCGCCCCAGCTCCGGTGTGGAGGCGGGCGTGCTGTTTGCCGAGGGCGGGCAGTACTCAGAGGAGGAGAAGCGGTCGTGTGAGCAGGAGAGGGACCTCTGCATGTCCACGCGGTCTCCTCCGTGCCCACCGCTGGCCAATTTCCTCGGCTGGGATCCCAGGCGCTGAGGGCGGGATGCTCGCAGGAGAGCGGGTTGGACCGCGAGGGCAGGCTGAAGCTCGAGCTCCTCTGCATGGTGGCAAAGCCGTTGGAGTAGCGTTGCACGCTCCCCCCGCTGTAACACCGCCGTTTCTCGACCGGGGTCCAAACCTTCGAGCCTAAGGGTCTCCACGAGGTCCCGCAACTTGACATTTCATCCGAAAATGAGAGCGAGCGGCACTGGCGCTTGCTGGGGGGTGCTGAGGGGTTGCCGTGGGGGTCGCTGAGGCTGAGGTCTTTGATCAGGTTGGTGACGGAGCAGGTGCTGGCCGGCTCCCTCGGCCAGCGCGAACCCTCCTCGCCCTTGTCCGACAAGCAGTCCCAGATGCTGGCGCCCGGCTGCCCGAGCTGAAGTGGACATTTCCTGCTGAGATCTCTCCATCTGTCATTTTCTGGTTCAGAAAGGAGAAAAGAAAAAAACCACACATGCACAGGCATTAGCGTTAATTAATTAATTCTGCGATTCGCTTTCTACGTCCATAAACAAAAAGAGTAGCATATGGGATGTTTTCCAGTACAAATTAATTAACTCTTGGAATATGGTTTTCTGAACTGCCAGCAGAACGGTTGCTGTGGCATAGATGGAGAGAGACAAAATGATAATCGCAGCAGGAGAAAAACTGCTAGAAGAAGATAAAAACATGTCTTTGAATATCCAGATTGCACTAGCTAAGGGAAATTCAGCATTATAAAATTACATGGCCATTGCCTTATCTCCATGATAAATCATGCATCAGATGCAGGCAGTTGGTCCTGGGCTCCGTGATCAACAACTGCCTGAGAGGTTCACAAAAACTGGAAGGGAAGAGCACAAAGCTGTAGCAAGATGGGGCAAGATGGACCTCGGGGGACAAAACAGCAGAAGGGAGAGGAGATAGCAGACGGGATGCCCTAACAGAAAGGGGAGTGCCCCCCGGGCATCGAGCTGCCTGTCGCGGCACGGAAATCCCAACAAGGTCATGAAAGCCTACGGAAAACCAAAACCCATCCCGCCAGCCGTAGGGCTGTCCTGCTCTCAGCCGCTGCTAAACCAGCATTGCTCCAAAGAAACCACGTTATCCCCACTGAGGCTCTGAGCATCTCTCCCACACCAACCCAAGGAGACAGTGCCTAACGTATCCTTACATACATTCGTACTATGGTGCACGTAATGAGCTCCAAGACGGCCGATGCTAGAACAGATGCACGATAAACCTCCAGCAGTTCTTTGCAAGACGCTGTTCTTAGGGCCCTGTTGTGAGGCTCATCACCCATCTCCCCTCCATCCCCTAAAACTGAGGCCAGCGGGGTGCTGGGGCCCAGGTGCCCCCCCGGCCAGTTACCCGCACAGAGTGGGAAGGTGTGATGGGAAGCGGGTACCCACACCCTCCTGCTCTTCTGTGGCAACCTGGGCTTAGCATCTCTTCAGGGTTGCCTTGAAAATCCCAGTTGCACCTAGCACAGCCAATCGTCTGCATGTCTGTAATAAACATAACCTCGAAGCATTTATTTAAAGGAACAAATTGCTTAATAGGCTTGCTTTTTTTTTTTTTTAAATACACTTTCTTAACATTCTCTGCCTCTCTCCTTCATTCAGCTTGTTTACACAGGAATTTGTTCCCCCTGCAAATTTGGCTTGCGTTAACAGTCTTCCAACGCAGCACAGCAAAAGACGCTGGTGGCCTGTTGCATGGTTTCGGGGTCAGAATAACAATATTCCTTTCATCAGATGGGTTTTGTGGTGCCTGGGTAAAGCTCCAAGAACCCTGTGCCTCCAAAGTCCGCGGGCTGAAATGTATACGGCTATGGAAGACTGCAAACCCGGCTACAGCTGTAGTCAAAAATCCCACTGATGACTGTGTCGAAAGAGAGGATTAAGGGTGATGATCTCATTCCTGCACGCGGTCCCGCTATAAAAGAAGAAAGCAGAGTATCATCGAGGTCTGGTTCCCCAGCGCAGGGGAACGGGGCTTTCTGCAGCTACGCCGTTGACGCTCAACAGGAAAACCATGGTAGGACAACCCCATCGGCTGCTGCAATGGAAAAAAGTAATCACCCAACAGACCTCCTCTGGTGACTGTTTTTGTCGTCGGCTGCTGCAAACAGAAGCAAACCGTGCTAGCTAACCGTCGCTGCGAAGTTTCATATGATCATATCTAAATCGTGCAATAATTTTTAGGGGTTTGGGGGTTTTTTCCACTCAGGTAACTGGAGGATGAATTAAAGGCAATACCCAGCCCGCAGCTGTAGGTACCAGCCTGATAGGAAAGATGAAACGGTGCAGGACGCTTCCAACCGGGGCTTGGTTTCAATTCGAGAGGTCAGATTTGGGGCTCCCTACACCACTCTTGGCCAGTTTTCCCATTTCTCTCTGCATCCAGCTGCCGCCGTAACAGCTCCAGCCACAAACAGCTTGGCTCTGCACCCAATAACCACACGGCATTTTAACTGTCGCTATCTTCATTTTAATAAACACAATGAAAAGTGAGAAACCCGCGCTAAACAACTACATCTATGTTTAGATCTTTATTATTTTTCCCCTCATATTATGCTGCCAGCAGCGAGATTTCTTGGGTCAGGTCAGCAGACAAAAGAAACAGAAATAGAAGCTGATTTTTCATGGCAAGCTGCCATGATCCTCCGGCCGGAGACGTCACGTTGTACAAAAGGCCTTGGTGAGGAGGATACGGGACACCTTCCTCTTTCACCCCTGCTTCGGCACAAACAGCTATAAATCTTCCAAACCTTGCAAAGAGACCGGTAATTGCACCGTTACCCCCAGCACCAGCTCGGGGTTATTTGCTTTTCCCCTCGCACCACGGGGGGTTTTTTTTTTGGCAGGGCAGGGAGGAGACCCTGGCACAGCCCGGCCCCCCCAAGCACCACCGACCGGCCCCAGACTACCGGATAACCCAGAAAATGGGTTGCTTTATTTCAGTGCAAACAGAAAACTGTTCACCCCAAAACAAATTGAAAACGGGGTAGTCTGAGGGCTGAGGGTGTAATTAAAGGACGCGGGAAAGCCTTATTGAGGAAAACCGGCTGGTTTTCTGTTCCATTTTTTTAAGACTAAGATTCACATCCTGAGCACGCTGATAATGATAATTGCAGTGGAGCCATTAATACTGCTGCAGTTAAGCATGTATTAATTTTCTTAAATTACAAACCTCAACTCGGTTTACCCCGAGGCAGTAATTTGTTCCAGGATAAAACCCACCATGAGAATCCCTCGGTTCTCAAGTGAGCTGCTTTGCTGGAAAACTCTCTTTTGCCTATTGGAAAAACAATAGGAGAACATTTACAACCGGAGCATGACGGAAGTATGGCACGAGGAACTCTTCCCCCTGGTTAAACGGGTCCTTCTTGGCTGTTAGCATCCCTGGATGAAATAGCATCTCACTTTTGGATTTTAACTTAAAACTGCAAAACTAAACACTTCAAGTCATTTGATGAGCACGTCCAGCAAATTTCTTTGGAGGTGTTTTGATCTGCAAAACTACATTTCCAGGGTGAGGCAACACAAAGTGAATTTTCTGGCATCTCTTTGGTTGTGAAATAGCTTTCCGGTTCCCAAGACACAGAGGGGTGTTATCGGCAGCCTGGGGAGGACTGAATTTCTCATCCTGCCCTCCCTGGCCACGGCAGCAGGAGCCTGAGCCCTCCTGCAAAGCATGCACGAAGCAGCAAGAAATCCAGACCGGCGTGGAGCACGTTAAATTCAGGTTACAGCTGCAAGCTCCCAGGCAGCCCAGCCTCGGTGGGACCCAAACCCAAGCTATTTCTGCTCTCCAAAGCAAGGCTCAGCCGGTTAGCTCTGATTCAGCCCCGGAGCGAGCGATCTGAGCCCCGCAGCCCGCACGCCTTCCCACGGCCCTGCCTGGCCTCCGGGAGAGTTCGGTGTCCGTGCCATCGACCCAGGGTGGGGGAAGCACCCTGCCAGGGATGCTCTGGGAGGGAGATGTTGGGTATCGAACTGACG